AATGTTGACGCTTTTATGATTGAACGGCCTTTGCGCAGCCAGCGAGACTTGTAAAGTTGCTGGCCGGAAAAGAGGTTAGCCTTGCTAGGCTGCTTGCGTGCCGCGAATCACCGGGTAGCTCTCCGACAGTGGATTCTTCTCGTTTAACGTGCAAATTTCGCGCGAACGCGCGAGGGTAGCACAAAAGCCGTGCAGTCTTAACCTTTTACGCTAGGAGCCGGTGGAATGGCAAAAAGACCAAGCGTCGGAAGAGCATAATCACTGCGCTGTGCGATGAAATTATCCGCGAGCTTGAATTTCTCTTCGTGGCATCCGAATTTTCATTGTGGTGGATCGTCCTGTATCAGTCGATTCCAGAAAATTTCTTGGGAAACAGGAATTAACGATTGTTACGAGTTTCATTGTTACGATCTGTAACGATAGATTCTGTACCAACAGCTACGTGAATGCATTATATTGCGTCGAAGTAACTAAAGGTTAAAAATAAAATTCCTAGCTATGTGGGGGGTGATTCCTTCTTTCCCTTATTTGTCTTTTGTGTTGCCAGGTCTTTTGGTCTCTTATTTTCTGGAGACGCCTGTGACCTGTCTGGCCCTAAGCAGGCAGGACAGTTCTGACTGTACACCTATATACGTGTGATAAACATATTCTTACAGATGGCACTTAGACCTCCTCTTCTGTGTGTTCCATTGCTGGATAGCTGAAAGATTTCAAATATATATGACGTAGAATTAGATTAACCCTAGCTGAACACTGTCAACTCAATTCTCTCAATTTAGACGGAAGACGATCCTTTTTATAGGGAACAGCCGCGATTGTTCTTTGCCCGAAAATTCTAGTAGGTCCTGAATTACTATTCCGTAAGTTGGAGTCCCTAATCGAATATTCTCGAAGGCTCTGAATTACTATAATATTTTCCAGGAATTACAGTTCGCTCTTGTTACTAGACCGAGTACAGGGTGGATATGAGAAATTCGTAACATATATATTTCAAATCTGAAACCGATATCGGGAACAATTCTTAAACGATCATTGTGACGATCGCGTAACCACTCGCGCTGTCAAAACGTGCCACGCACGTCGTAATGCTTTTGTCCCAGAATTGCCGATAACGTGGTGTACACGTTACACGTACTGGTACTTTTTCGAACCTTTCCGTGCAAAAGAAGTGGCTACCAAATATAGACCTTTTTCACGGACCGCAAATTATTTTCGAAAGCTCTCCACTCTCAGGTCGATTCTCATGTACGATTCAGCGAGTCATCCCTCCGCGACGTCCACCGACACAGCCGCCTTGTTCGCTCAGCAGAAAGATAGTCTCGCGAGATAAGGGCTCGAGGAATGTCGAGTGTTCTCGTTCCTATAAAACGCAATTTCTGCAACGAGCTTGGAGGCCGGTCTATACGACTCGCAAATTGCGTAGACAATTCGTAGTTAGCACGGGCTCGTAACGCGTATCGTCGATAGTGACCGAGCAAGAGGCATGCGACTACAGTATCATCCGTTTATGCGTCTGTCTCGCGGTGTCACGGTCAAGAAACAGCCGGAAAGAAGGGAAACAGAGAGATCGGATCAGCCATCCACGAAGTAGACGACAAACCGATTATGCTTTCGCGGTTGCAGCGGCAGAGAAATCGGGAATTTATCGCGAGACATTAACGTAACTCGCGTTTCCACTGGTCGCGTAAGCGCGGCGAGAACGTGGTTGAAAGAATGGAGAAGAATGCTCCTACCCTCGCGTACCCCTCTCGCGTGGTGCCGCATCCTTAAGATCCTACGAACCTCTCGCGCCGGAGCGACCGGTGCCCTCGGGGTACGCGGTTGATCGTCCGAGAGATTTGCTCGGTTGCGCCGTTGGCGGTCTTCCAAACGAATCCTCTTAGTTTTCGGAGAAGACCGGGGAGAAGAGGCAGAGAAGCGAGCGTATAGAGGCGGAAAAACTGGAGACGGCTGAAAGAGAAAAGGGGTGGAGGAGGAAAGCGTGGAGTCGTAATTTCGCGTAACAGCCTCGTAAAAATAAGGTCACACGGTGCTGGGTATAATAATAAGCGTGCTCCTACGCCAGTGAGCGTGGATATGCGCGTGCATTAGCATAAGCCTGGTATGCGAGATAGTCGCGCGTAGGCGTGTGTAGATACGCGCGGGCGGAGTGTAAAAAAATGGAAAGAGAGTAGAAAAGAATGGCGAGGGGGTGGGAAGGGGGGTGGTCGGTGGATGGAGAGCGAATTGGAGAGGGAAAAAGTCGCTGAAAAGTCGGTAAAAAGTCGCCAAAAAGTCGTTATTGTTCGCGTGGAGATATCGCGACGGAGATAGGAGCGTTGGATTCGGAGCAGGCAGTATGCAAACGAGGCGACGGAAAAGTAGGATGGAACGATGAACGAAGAAAGGGATCGGCGAATGAACGAACACTGGACGAAAGAGGAGACACGGTGGATCGTCGGTGTGTGGCAGTTAACCGGTAGACCGGGGTATCGGCGAACGATTTCCCGCGGTTGCAGCGGGAAGGATCGTTAATAAACGAGAGCTGCCGTTGCAGCTGCTGTTGGAACGCGCGTGCAAACTCGACGCGTGTCCCTGTTGCGAGGGCAGGCTCGTCTATCCGCGGCGCTGGTAAACTGGTATCGATAAAGCGAGAACCGTAGCCGCGTAAAGATAAGGCACGCGAGATAAGGTAACTCCGCGATTTAAGCACTCCCGCTGCCGTTGGCACGGATCTGCCTCGCGTGGAAGGCGGGAACTTCGCGCCACGGCTCATTTACATTACCATCGGTGCCTCTTTAATGATCAGCGATAATGCCGCGTTGCTCAATGGCCGCTTTTTCAGATCACTTTTTCGATAAACTCCACGAGTGCCCCCCGTTCCTACGTTCCGTCGCCATCTTCCTGCTCGCCGAGTAGCTTCGAGAAACGCGGCACTTCCGCGGTTCACGAGTCCTGCAAGATTCCGAAGATTTTGAAAATTTGTACGACAGTTCACGCAGATCCTTGGCACGGAACACCTTGGAATATTACACCGTTAAACGACTCGGGATCGATTCGGATGTTGCCTGGAAGGAGCTACTATCGTCTGACAATGGGGTACGAAGAGGAACCGGGAACCGCGGATGGTCGGCGATATTAGCGGCGGGAACGCGGTAACGAACGAGACCGGGAACAATGTAGGAATAGTTTTGTAAAGGTGCTCGTGAAAAAAAAAAGTAACCGCGAGAACAAGGTATCGTTAATTATATGTCCGTGTCCGGGCATGTTGGAATGCATATACATTAGCATAAGCCCGATACGCGAGATAGCCGTGTGTAGGTGTATACAAGCGTCTTAGGCATAAAAGCTGGCCTGCGGGAAGGGAAAAGGGGGAAAAAGGCAGGGAAGGAAAAGAAAAGAGAAAAGAAAGGAGGGAAATGAGGCACGAGAGATACGGAGGAGGGAAAGATCGGCGGAACGCGCGAGGAGAGAGGATAGAGGAAGAAAAGCGAGCGCGTATAAGGAAAGCGGCCCCCAGATACCACGGATGCTCTATAATCCGGGCAGATAAACGACGTAGAACGTAGCAGGCTATCGTTGGCTTTTTACAAGGAGACACACCGCTGGAGCGGAGAATCGCGCTCGGGACGCGCATAGGCGCGTGCAACCGAGAGCACGGTGCACCCCGCTGCGTGTTTGAGCGCGTTTATCAGCCGGCGGCTGGTAAAATCCCGCTGATAAAGCGGAAATCTTAGCCAAGCAAAGTGCTGGATAAAGCGTAGAATCGGATGACTCGGCGACTCCTCCAAGCGTTACCGTTACGATAGGCTCGAGTTTCATGGGGCACGGGGAGACGCGAAAGTCGTATTTTATAGGTATTTTGATAACTGTCCGCGAGCACGCGGTGACGCGCGCTATAAAACTGCGACATTTCGCAAGCGTTTCGAGTCGGCTGCGACATTTTTACGCGATCGGGCCCCCATCGGCACGCGAATTCTAGAGCTGCGAGGGAGGCGTTCACCGGCCGGGATTATCCCGGATCGTAGGCGCGAAGTCGCGAGATGGTCGGCTCGAAAATCGGACGATCCTCGCAGGTGATCCGCCGACCGGTCGGGGAGGCGACTCCGATCCTCCGCGTCCTTCTGTGACCGCGGCGTTATTAATTGCGCCGTTACGCCAATGCGGCTTGCAACTTAGGCGCATTAGCATACGTTTGGTATGCGGCGTAGTGGTGCGTAGGTGTATGTATATAGACACGGGAACGGAAAAAATGGCGATGGTGGTGTGTGGCTGTGCGGAATGAAAAAGGGAAGGTGGAAAGCGCATCGATGAATAACACGCGCGTGGCGGGGAAAAAATGCGTAGGAGAGGAAAAAAGGCGCGACAACGGCACGCGGTGTATCCGATACAGCGTATCGACGGTATCGGTTCGTGTTCCTGTTCTACTGCGCCGGTGGAAACGAGTTTCGTAGAGGCGTTTAGCCGCGACACGCGGAACGACGACAGCTAACGATAGTTAGTAGCACGTGGTAGCGCGTAAGAGCATGGAATACGCGGGGCTGGCTCCCTTGGAACTCGAATGCTCGCACAAAGGAACGCGGTAAAGCGGCGCCGATAATGCGAGAGCCGAGGTTGCGTAAAGATAAAGCCGGCGAGATACGCAGCCCTCCGCGATTTAAACGTATACCGACGCGCGATCCACCGCGCGAGCATTCGTCCGCGCGCGAGAACTTAACGCCACGTTCAATTTGCATTATCATCCGCTTCCCCCTAACCACGCGAGATACAACCGCGTGGCATAACAATTCCGTTTATTGCCGCGGCTGTTCGCGTCTCTGTTTCAGCCGCGCCGATCCGACGGATGCCCTCTCGGCGCGCGATACGATCGACGCGTGTCGCCGATGCGTCCGATCCGAGTTTCATTAGCATTCGAAATACATCGTTGTGTGATTAATCGCCGTGGATGGAACAGGTCTCGTTCACGAACGTAACAACTTCGTTTGAGAAACTGGACGGTCGTAAAAGTGCAAGGTACTTACCGAGGCAAGTTATCGCGTGATCGGCCGGCGGTCGTAGGACATTCCGAGCCCAGGCTGCCCTCAAGACCTCGAGGGCACAGGGTGGTCCACCGACCATCAGCACGCCAGGTGACACGTGACCCTTGTACCTGAGTTGTCGGGTTGCGTCCACCAAGGCTGCGTTCCACCAGCATTTGGAGTTCGCCTCCAAGAAGCTCTGAAAGCATTCCAAAGCTCTGTTACATTCCCCGTAAATATCCGTCGCGGGTAATCGTGCAACGGGGTTCGTTTTATTCCTTCGACAATTACGTCTCAGTCATAGAACTAGTTGCTCAACTTGACAGCTATTAGAAAAACCATTAATACACCTCGACTTTAATTACACGATCAGATAGTCGAGTGCATATCTGATCGGATATAATAACGCTTGTAACGATATTACGTTCGCGAAATTTATGAGAAATCAATCCCGGTTTCCCCCGAAGCGCCGTGTCCTTTTTGGTCGATATACTTGTCTTTCCCACACCGTGAAACTCGAGTCGCGCGAATTGTCAGCGACCATTTCGCGGCGATGATGTTGCACACTGGGTAGGGATGTTGCTCGTAAAGAAGATAGAATCTTAGGATCCATTCTGGGAAATACGGTGGAGCGGTTAAGCGTTTAGTGCCACGGGGCAGGCTGCCGTTCACCCTTCTCGTAAACTCCCACCGAAACTGTGCCACCCTCGTAGTTTTCCCCGATTCGCGTAGTTACGGCCCGTATATATAGGCGTAAGCCACGATGGGGGTCGAATAAGCCAGACAGTACTCGTGAACGAATGGCCCCGCAGGATTTTCACCGACTATTGCCCTTTTCCTTCCACATCCCTTCTGTCGCTACGTGCTCCACGATAAACCGTGAAATTAGAGAGAAGCCTGCGAATCGATTGGCCGATTCACGAGCTACCATGATTCATTGCTGGCTTTGTGCAGATGGAAGAACGCATTATGCTTTTGTCCTTTACGCCATGTCCGTCTCTATTCGAGATAATAGGAGGAGTCACACGCGAGCGTAAATCACGCAGCTTTTGATGTTGATCGAAAAATTCGACGGAATGGAAGATTAATGGCGGCCAACGAGCACAACGTTGCACGCTTTGCGTTTATATAACGGTTAGAAAGCCGATGTTTCCTTATGCAATCTATTATGCCGGGATAAGAATTGCCGCTTTTGGAATCGCTGCTGAAAAATTCCTACTTTCGGTCAACACGGTATGCGGCGATACACCTGTGTAAACGGCCTTGTATAATGTATTCGTTCCATGAAAGCGGTTATTGCACTGTTCTAGTTTAACGTACCCATGGGAGTACGTTTCTCGCAGTTATCACAAATCGATACGTTTTTCCCGGCTCTTATCTCCTACCATTTCCTTCGGGCTTCCTCCATCATTAATCACGTTTACTTTCTCGCCTTGCAACCTTGTTCGAATTCTATCTGCGACTAATTTAATTACAGGACCGTTAAACGCCACATCCACGCGTAATTCGAATCTGAAATTTCATCGCGTTCAAGAAACTTGAATTTAATTATAGTCTTCGAGCCTTATCGAATCGTTATGGGTTTAAAGCCATTCGTTCGCTCGTTCGTTAAAATCCTTTATTTTTAATTAGACTTTCTACCATATCCGGTGCCATCGATCTCACGACCAATTTAGTGCACACAGCACTGACAAAACGTTTTCCTCTCGTTCTTTCTCCCCTTTTTTCCCCCCTTTCTTTTTTTCCCATTTCGTGTCCCCGTTCTCTGTTTGCGCGCTCCACGCAGCCGTGCCGAAGGACCCTCTATGGGGTCTGGCTCGCTGCACCTGACAGGACATTTTTCACCTCGAGCCCCGATTGAAAGCGTTCAACGAGCTTCTCCCCGGAACCACGCGAATAATACCACCGTGTATCGACCGTAATGGCACTTGTGCTCTCCAGGCGTGACTTTTCGTCGATGTCAGTTCGAGAACTACCTTCCACGCGTCACGTATAATAAAACGCGTCCCGTTAAAATGACCGAGAAAGTCGAGTCGCGAGGACCGAGTCCAGACAAGGTAGAAATTATCTCTTTGCGAGCCCGATCGAAAATTTGCGACATTTTTATTTATTTACTCGTACTACGAGTTGTCTCCACGAGCGCAGGCTGATTTTCTTACTTCATCGTTGTTTCATCGAATATCTGAATATTCCTCGGACCCCATCAAGGATGATAGTGACATCTCGTTGTACCGACAATTACACAGACAGAGGAGTAATTTTCTTTAGAATTTATGGAAGAAGAAATTGCTCCGCGGATATAATTGGCTCGCAGCTTGCCTCGACGTTTGCGTTATTAAAATGGGAAACTGGAATAGGGAATTCACTTGGACGACGAGATTCAGAGTCATTTTAAATAATAGAGTATTTTCTAGTTCCCTATATTTGGTGTCCCAAAATTCATGCGAGAGGTAACAGGTTTTTAACTCTTTGCACTCGAGAGGTGATCTTCGGTCATTAAAATTTCGAAGATCCATATTAATTGATATATTAAATTCAAAAGAACGTAATAGTGTGCGAGGTATTGAAATGAAATAATTCTACGTGTTAATTATTATACGAATTTTTATTTACTGTTTTAAAAAATATTGTCAGCTTTGTAGCGGAAAATCTTCGAATTTCTACTCTTCTGTAGCGAAAAGATCGTCGAGTGCAAAGGGTTAATTAAGAATTGTAAATTTGTTCAACAACGAAGACGCGTTGTTCTTTCGCGTAGCCCTCCATTTTTAATAACACTGAACTGTCAGCTGTCACGCTGTCTTTTTTCCGTTGGCAACACTTTACTGCAGAAATGGCGCAAAATTCAAATCTCAAAAATCAAAATTCAAAATTCAAATGGCGCGAATTTCGGAACACTCAGCTTCTTATAAATTATTATTATCAGTACCTGAATTTTCCATTCGCGAACATTCATCGCGATTCTATAGTACATTTGTACTCCTTCGTTAACTCTTTATACCGTCGTGAGGTTTCATGCTGCAGCTCGTAAGACGAATTGAATTATACTCCAATTATATTTAACACGTTAAACGCCACACCGGTCCCTAGGGTCCGATGTTAGACTTTCCGTTCAGGTCTCACCGGTCCGTGGGGCCCGGAAGGGTCCGCATGACGGCTAAGCGTGGCGTGAACAGAACAGCACGTAGAACCTGCGTGTTAACATAACTCAGTATGCGCAAAATTGAAATCGCGTAATTAAATCGTAGTGTCGATAAATATATCATTATTACTGAAAGAAAAGGTAATTATTTTGGAATTATTTTATCTCGACATTGCACGCATCGTTGAGTAATTTTAGATTTGATATATTAATTAACATGGATATTTGGAACTTGATTAAATGGCGACTGAGACTCGCCTCTCGTGTGCAAAAGGTTAATATAAACGAAATATATATGTAGAATGGCGAAAACTGGTTTTGAGACACCAAAAATTGACAAAATAACACAAACTCAAAACTCATAAAATTAATTCAACTTAGGAAAAGAACACCAAGATAACGAAACGAAAACACACAAAGACACACTCTAATTTAACTCTCTTTCCAACATCAAGCGACTCACGCTCGTGCTGGTCACAATTAATTTCTAAAGACTCTGTTTTGGTCATCAAGGATCCTGCTTTTATGCTTTTCCTAACCTACGCTTCATCTCCCATAGGGACCAGCAAATTAATTTTCTTACCCAAAATAACATTTCCATTTGCTTCTAGAAAATACTGATCGGTTTATAATTTGTTTTTGCTGCTAATGGCCGATTCGCGATTTCTTTGGAAATGATATCTTACATATAATTGAACCAACTTTTCGTGGACCCTCGGAAGAACGACAATTACTATTATTGTCATCACGAGACTCGTTATATCTCGTTTGCAGTCTACAAAAGGTATCGAGAGATTAAGAATCTTATAAGCGATTTAATCTCGGCGATAAACAATAACGCAGTTACAAAACGCGTGAAAGGATCGACGGTAACATTTCACATTTCATTAAGACGTTACTTAACGCGATGATTTAACAGGTTTATCCGTGTCAAGGCATCCTCAAGGATGGCCGCGGATCTCGCAATTCCTCGATGCAGTTTCGCCCGGCAGCAGGGAATCGCTCGATCGACTACGTATTCGTTTCGGCAGGTGAAACTGCCACGGTTGCGTCAAAGCTTTCGTCCATCGAGTTGTCGCCATCTCGCCATCTCGTAACGTCCACGGGACCGTCACCGATTTCGCGGGATCCTTCCTCGATCTGCTTTTCCCTCTCAGCAGGTGTCGAGACCTCTTCCG